TCTCTGAGATTCATGGCATTGTTGGAATTAAAAGAACCGTCAGAGTTTTTTCAGAAATAGTCATTACCATCTGTGAACCAGTTTCGAATACTGACAGATAGTGATTACATGATGGTAGAGTGACTACATGTGAATGGTTATTGTGATTGTTTGGCAAAAGAAAGGTATTGTGTTGCTCACAACATTATTTTTGCACTAGAACATACCAATAATAATCAGAACAAGTGAGGAAATGTTATTAATGATCAAGAACTTATCATAATGATTGAAAAACCTCACTACACATGCTTCTCTAGGTGTGAATCTCACATCAAAGAAATGAGTCGAGCGTGAGTATCTTTATTAAAAATCAATTCACACATACTGTGCTTTCATCGCTGTTGGATGAATCATATCCTCTGGTCTGGTGGAGGTCAGACGGATAGCATGCTTGTGTGTGTCGAATTCAGAAAAATCTTGAAAATGAGCAGAATAAGGGGGATGACCACATACTGATACATTAGCTTTAGTTTTTGATGTATTCATCATGCTGCAAAAATGCACCTACAGTAGGGATGCTATTCTACTACTGTTTTCGTTCCGTTGCATGCAAAGTTTGTATGTGTTAAGTATACAAACTACTCTCAACTACAACTGTAATTGGTTGTGATTCTCTGTGTTGCATATTTGGTTAGCATTGAAACAACGATTTTAGCTGGGAAGAGAGAGTGCGCCAGACAATGTGACTAAAGTTGTATTTCACTAAAATAACCAAAGCTCCAAGCCTCAGGATACGATAAGTTAAGTTTTAAAAGCTAGCAACATATTGTATACAAACTGTAGCAAACATTTTCCAACATCATGACTGAATTACTGAAATTAGGAGAAGATGGCTGTGGTATAAGTTTACTGACATTTTCTATTACAAATCATTCTGTACGACCCATAAATTAAATAATGTGCACACAAGCCACATGTTATCTTCACATGCATTTTTATTCTTAGAAGTCATTGATTTGAAGTTTAGCAATTTAATTCCAGCATATTTCCTTTAAAAAACACAATAATAGGTTCCGAGCAGTTTTGTGAAGATAACAAAGACCATGTGGCATAATAACATAGACATTAAATGTGTAACCTATGACTCCAATTATGGTTTATTTTCACTTGAATCTCTGCTCAGCATTGATGAAAACTCAGCCGCTCTCTCTTTCAGCTGGTACATTTCCGAGACAGATAAAACATTTCAATTTGACTGAAATAATGTGTCTGTCAAAGAGCACAGACTGTCTGCTCCTTTGTACTGAAAAGTAATTCCCCTCATTCTAACATTAATTATGTCTGCCAACACAAGGAGATTGATGGCTGAGGGAGGAAATAAAATCACACAGAACCAGTCCGATGAAAACCTAAATATAGATTCAAAGGACGGCACGTACACGTCTGTCATCTCAAATCATGTGAGTGTGTAATCATTTTTCATTGACAAAATGAGTGGGTGGGAATATGGAAGAATGACATTCATTTTATATACAGGCTGGCAAATCTATATCTGTGTATTGCTAATGAGTGATATACATAGATACACAAGGCATAATCATGCTGTGGGCCAGATTTGTTTTGATCTTGTGAGTCATAAAGAATATCAAAACAGTGCGGAAAGAAAAGACTGTTGAGTACAACACATAACACTGATCGTTGGAGGTTTTGGTGGTTGATATATTTTTAATAGAGGGGTCCTATTAAGCTAATTTGTTGGTTCGTATTTGTATTTTTTGCCTCTATTGTGACGTGTTTACATACTTTAATGTTCAGAAAGTGCCTTGTTTTTCTCATGTTGCCAACACAAGCACGAGTGTTACATAGTGATGTCACTTACAAAAGTAAACAGGTGATAGTTTTAACCCACTTAAAGTGACAGTTAAAAGAGTGATAAGACTTGATCAGGAGTGACAGAAGAAAACATAAGGAGAAAACTACAACATATTATTCTAAACCCTTTGCATATTGACATCCAACAGACATGCATTACATGATTTTGGATAAATGAGGTTTGCATAGTTGGTTACCCCTTGCTGCCATCTGGAGCTGCCAGTGTGAGAAGTTGCCTGGTGCAGCTTTAATTTACAAACTCCTTTGAGTGAAACATCTGACCTGAGAACAGTGTATGCTAGTAGCTGTCCAGATGGCGATGCACTTTACTTCATTTCCTTTTTTGTTATGAAGACTCCTAATGAACAGCTGCAAAGTAAAAAGGTGTTGCATGAAACCATAATGTGGAACTTGTGAAGTATTCTCTCTTTGTTCAGAACAAGAAGTGTGAAGGATCCACACAATGTCAGTGAGAATAAGAGTGATAGGTTATATATAATAAAGATGCCGGCCTAGATAACAGCATCTTATTAAATGTTGCATGTCAAAATGAGAAAGAGGAGCATAAACGATGTCCATCACCCCAACAACAGGCTCTTCTCTCTGCTGCTGCCTCAAGGCCCCAAAAGAGAGGATGAAGACAAGTTTCCCCCCTCAGGCCGTCCAACCACCAACTTTCACATCCATAACTCACTATACACCATTTATAACTCATTACATTCTGGAAAGGATCCAAATCACTTGGCAGGTACACAAATTACACACAGATTGGGCTTTTTGCCTTGACAGAGGTCTGCGCTGTCCAAGCACTCTTCTAGTTCCATGTGTTGTATGTCTGTATGTGAAAGCTTTGTTCTTTCCATTTTGGAAATAATTAGGTTTTCATTGGTTTATCGTTTCATTTAATCTACATTTAATTTAGTTATTTGGTTTATAAAACGATTTCTTATTTGCTTTCTGGAGCTAGGCACAGGCAGACGTCACTATTGTATGATTGTGTTTGTGACAAATAAACATGATTCCATTTTATTTTAAGAATATTAGAACCCCTCAAGCGGCTATAATCTAGCTAGCACAACAATTATCCAACGATAATAAATATTGTTAAGAAAATGTAATTATTGCCAATAACAGACAGCCAATTTTCAAACTCCAGTATATTATTTGGCAGTATTTACCTTTAATTGGTTTGAAAACTTTCAATAAGCAAGTCAAAGTTTCACAGGAATATCAACACTTGAGATGTTCCATAATGTTGGTCTGTGTAAAAAGAAACCTGTCAAAATAATGTTCTGTTAATATGTTGGGGTACATGCCTGCCCCATGTTATCTGGTACAAAAGACTGTTTTTACTGATTTTTCATGTGTATTTATTAGGGCTGTCAAGTTAACGCGTTAATAACGCGTTAACGCAACAAAAAAAAATTAACGCCACTAATTATTTTAACGCGATTAACGCATGTGTATTTTTTGTCCTCGGCCGCCCCGTAGTTTCAGAGCGCATCGAGTTTAAAATACCATCTACAAGCTGATGCTGACAGCCCCGCTCCTGCCGCCCGCTTGTGGCAGACCACACTTCCACGCTCACCGGCAGGCACCGACTGGCTGTTGGGAGGACCAACAGCACCTTACGTGCATTGTTGTTGTTAGCATCTGGTGCTAGCTAGCTGCGCTAACGGATATGGAGCTGTTTAAATGAAAACAGAGGAGCGACATTTCGCCACAACTGCGCCGAGCACTTGACTTTATGCAGGAAGCCAGACAGTGGGACATTGTACGAAAATTCAGCACACTCAGCACGGATAGTGCGCAACATGATTGCAGCGTCCAGGCAGCTCCCGTTCGAGCATATGCCTTGAGTTGCACATAGCTCCAACGATCCAACACACACACACACACACCACACACACACACACACACACCACACACACACACACACACACACACACACACACACACACACACACACACACACACACACACACACACACACACCACACACACACACACACACGCACACACACACAGTATTATTGTATGAGAGAGGTTCCAGGTTGAATTGAATTGAGGCGAATATTTGTAATGTTCAGAGATTGTTGTGTTTAATATTCATGAGAATATTTGTCATTGTTCAAATGATAATAAACATTAGCATAAAGCATATTTGTCCACTCATATGTTGATAAGAGTATTAAAAACTTTAAAAATATTCCTCTAAGGTACATTTAGAACAGATAAAAAATGTGCGATTAATCGCGATTAACTATTTTAATCGACTGACAGCCCTAGTATTTATACGTTAATTTAGTTCCCTGTTTTGTCCCTTATAAAGCTCCTGTCTGACTGCCAGTCCCGAGCAGATTTGTTTATCCTACTAGCCAGACTGGGAGTCTTACATAAGGTCGGGTCTGGAATCTATTTTGAGATAAATTGCAGTTAAGTGCTCAACAGTGCAGTTGGCAAAACTGCAAATAAGCAGGACAAATGTTTCCCCATCGTGTTAAAAAAGTTTTAATAACTTTTTGTCTTTTGCTTTGCGTGCTGCAAATAGTTATATGGGTGAAAAAATGTATTCATTGAGATGCAGAGAGATGTTGATTATATTTAAAGTATGGACCACTGGATATTTGGATATCTCTCCTACAAACTTACCATGAAACTATGCCCTGCATAGTTTTGGTTATATAATTGTGTCTTCCACTAATTGGACAACTGGGAACAACAGCTCGATTGCTCTGAGCATACAGATATCTCAAGCTTTCAGAAGTAACGCGTGCTGTTCATGGTTTCCTTCTAGCATTTCATTAAGAAATTGCACAATATGTTACATAACAATATGCCAGAGAGAATTTAGGAAGTAGGAAAATAAACATATCTTTCAACAATAGAAATTGGCCTTACATAATATGTTATATAATGTAACATTTATTTACATATAATTCAATATATGAACAGTATGTGTACGTATGTGTAAAATACATCTGGAATACAGCCATCTGTGTTTTGTGAACACTGAGATGTTCTTGTGTGCCTCCTTGTGGAGCACGTCAGCACTGGAGGAGGCTCCAGAGGGCTGGGTCAGAGGGAGAGAGGAGCGCACTATAAGAAGAGGATGAACCCGGGGGAGCGTCATTTAGACCACAGCCGAGAGAGGAGGAGAGGACAGTCAGAGGCGACCCAGAGAACAGATACGCGCAAGAAGGCAAAGCGTTCAGGATTGAACACTTAAATCGCGGTGATTTCTTTTTTTCCACAAGGACTGCAAAGGTGTATTCCTGTACTAACCCAGCGTCAGCACACCGTGAGGAAAGGCAAAAGTGAGGTTTTACGTTGCACTCCTCTCGCACCCGGCGCGTCTCGGTGTGCTGGATGAGCGCAAAGTGTGAGCTTCAGGACCCGAGGAGAGGACAGATCCGCTCCGTGTCCTCTGGACCTCCTGTCCAGGAACTCCGCTGAAGCTTTTTACATGTCAACTATTCCAGTCTGACTCTCTGCTTCACAAGTCTGGAAGAAGTCTGAAGCATCCGCTGACGGAGAGATCCGCAACCGACTGTGTGCTCAATATGTACCAGGGGCATTTACAGGTAAGTCTGCCTCTTTGTGCCTGTTCACTTCCCACGACAACACACAGTTGTGATGGAACAAATTAAATGATGTGAAAAAAATGTTTAGAGAATGAGACAATCACGGTTAGTCCACAGCAAGTAGAGATGTCCGAACACAATTATCTGTACGTGATTTCTAGAATAATCAAGCCATGCTAATTTGTACCTGTTAAGTGGGGGACGCTTGCTCGGAAAACAGCACACATATTGCTTAAATTGACAAACCGAGGAACTAAAAACGCGCGTAATGTGCCAAGTCAGCTAGAGCCAGCATTGGCAAAAGTCATTGATAAAAACAGAGCTGTAGCGCGACTATTGCACGTGCATGACACATGTAAACAGGAGGTAAATATACCGGTTTAAACGTTGCAGCTTTGACACAAGGGGCAACCAATCATTACGTTTGTTGACGTGCATGCTTATGCTCACGTGACGTCATGCAACCTGACGTTAATTTTGGTACAGCAGACACTTACAATATATGTAATGTCACGTGTGATTAAAACTGAGCTCCACACCCAACAAGACAAGAAAGCACACATTTGAAAACAATGGGCTCACAGTGCAAAACATAAAACTTCCTTAGTGATTAATGATGGCCTCTTCTCTTAGATGTATGGATTGTTGGTTGACTTCAGCTCCCAGACAGTTGATTATGTAATAAAAGACCTCTCCTGAGTCAGTACTCTGGAGCATTAAAGACCAACATTTAATATTTCATGGTATATTACTCAAGAAGCAGCATTCATTGAAAATGAATGAAAAGGCGGTCGGCAGCTCTAGTCTGGGCTACCCCACTTATGTTTGGTAAAGGTCAATGAAAAGTCTGTGATACCAAGTAATGATATGCAAAATACACTTCAAATAAACACGTGTTTTATCTTTTTATCACAATCTTACATGTTTCATCCCATTATGTTTCAATAATCGCACACTTTATATGTTGTTCATCCCATGCATGCAAGTCATTACACTGTGCCTGGTTTAGATCGTAACTGAAATTAGAGACTGTCCTTCCTGACCTTTATACAGGGATAATTTAGCAGCAAATGTCCAGTTAATGCACATGGATGCTATATCTTTCGGTAATGTATCTTTTGACACGACACTCGCTTGCGTAATCGATGCATTCATCTTGAAGTTGACAACACTTTCTCCTTGAAGTCAAATGTGCATGTGCATGAAATCAGACCTACGAGAATGTGCGATTAATACAACTTTGTCACACAGATATTATAAATAAGTTATTGCTTATGTGGGAAATGGGTGGAGTCTGTTATATAATGATAGCTGCGGAAACATTTGCATAATTTAAAACGTTCTAATCAACATGAAACTGTTTTTATAAAAGTAAATGTTTTTGAAAAGACATTCGTTCTGCAAAATCTCTTGTTTGTGCAAAAGTTGTAGTTAAAAAAACAAAAATGTAGGCCAGGCTGCACACTTTCAGAACAAGGGAATCTTTTAAAGACGAACCGATTTCTAAAGTGATGTTTCTGATATCTTACATGCATTTTATTTAAGTCACAGTAAATATTGTTTGAAATCATAGCGTACATGATGTTCTATACACCTATAACAATCTTTACATATTTTACATTGAGGATCTGTGAATGAAGGCTTGGGGCATAAATCATGGAGAGTTTTGGGACATAGCTTGGAATTGTTAATGAAGCTCAGACTGTAAACAGTTACTTATGTAACAGAGATGCAGCATCAGTCACTCAAGCTATCAGATTTGTTTCCCCAAAGTACGTGTAGATACACTTGTAAGGATATATTTTTAATACACGACTGTCAGTCAGCAAGATTTGTCAGCGTATTGCAGCTCAGGAAGCAGTCTGCTGTGAGAACAAGATAAGGATGTCTTATCTCTTTTTGTCAGAGTATTTTTAATTTGTTGACCTGCTCATGTCCCTCTTACCTGGTGTACTGTATATGTATATATGTGGCTTTAGGTGTTTAATCTATGGAGGGTAAGATATATCCATAAACACTCTGCAGCAAATATGCAAACATGTCAGACAATATTGGATGGATAAAATGTCTTGGCATGACCAAATCCAGCCCTCTTGGTTTGCTGGTGAGGGAGGGGCTTCTTCATGGGCAATATCAGAGATTGGCAGTACAGCTTGGCCAAAGTATAACACTGGACTTGTGTGTCTTCAATTCCTTCTTTATGTCTTAAAAGTAAAGTATAACCAGTATCATATTGTGTAGTAGTAACCAAATGTGTTGTGCGTGAAACAAAGTGCTTCCATTTTTGTAAGCAGAGTATCACCTTACTGTATCAAGTGTTGGAAAAGATTGATGTAGTTAGCGCAAAGCAATTTAGGGGTGTGGATGTCAGCCTCATTGCTCTTCCTGTGAAGGTGCAACTGAAGACGCTGTGAGGCAAGCTGATTCAGCACGGCTGCTCATTTTCATCAAACAAAAAGCTACAGGACATATTGTTACAGTCAATGTGCCGTATATTTCCACTTTGATGTACTACATATAAGAAAGACCTTGAGTTTGTACCCATTCATACTCCCTCAGATGGCACTTTTCCATAACATTTTGACAGTCTAGATGAATTGCTGTAGCAGTTTCCTTGCTTTGGCATTCATGTTTACAGTAAATCTAATTACTGGAGCGCTTGTACAGTTTGTATAAAACACATCCTGGATTAATGGAAATTATGTTCCAAGGCCTGTGGTTATTTGCTCAGTTAAGCATAACATGCTTACATAATTTGATTCCCAAATTCCACATTCCCCGGGGAAGAAATTGGATGGATGCTATCGTTGATCGGAAGTAGATCAAGTCTCATAAGATCGTACTCACAATTCTTTCATTAAGATCCTGATTTATTGAGACAGTAAAGGAATATCTGTTTATATTTTGTCCTCTAGAACTAAAATAAATAGGCCACTGGTAATATATACAATCTCAGAGTTGTCCAAAATTATTTGTTCTATTTGAATTTCCTGTTCTCTGTTCTGTTTTGGTGGTATGACTAAGTGTGGTAATCAAGTGCATACTCATGTTGCTGCCCTGATAGATTCTGAGTTCCCATTCCCCTCCTTACCTGAATTCATAAACATGCTTGATAATACAACATTAACACATTGTAAATCAGCATAATTAGCTGCTTTATGAAATGCAAAATAACATGTTCCAAATTCTAATGATTAAAACATTTCCAATTAATGCAAAAATAAAAACAAGTAATGAGGAAAATGTATTGAATAGATGCAAATGCAGCATAATCAACTACAGATGAATTAAAGAGAGTGCAAAGCAATCAACCAATTGGTAGACGAGTCGACAGGACTCACACCACAACACCAGCAGGTGACTATGCGAGCATGCAGCTCACATCACAAAACACGTATTTATCAATCATTTGCACAGTCAATCAGGCCATCATTCGTCCTCTGGGTTGAGTCTGTTAAATCTCCACTGTTGCACTAAGAGGCTTTCCTCCAGACTTTTCTCCACAGTCGTGGTGGTCAGCTACAGGAAAGACAAAGGGGTCCCAAATCATTTTTCCACAGAGACCGTTTCCAAGTCTCCTCGATTTAATGAACCATGGTCTATGATTAAGAGCGATTTAATAGGCCTGACTATTTCAAGAGCCAGGATAATGAGTGAAATCAGGTGGTATCCGGCTGGAACGAAGGCTCCACAGACAGTGCTGCTCTCCTTGTTTGAGGTGTGTGGTAGGGAAGCCAATTAAATGTCTACAAGAACTATAGTTGAGGGAAAAGCTGATCGATTACTCAATGAATATAAATCACAACGAAAATGTTAACTAGATAAAGATATATTTATATACACCAAATGATAATTTGTTGGAGGATCGGACTAGAAAAAAAGCCATTGTTGAGCTTTAAAGTTGCTCTGAAAGATGTTTGTGGAGTTAGACGTATGGAATTCATTTATTGTTTTTCATCACATTGGCATACTTGGATTTAATGCACAACAAATTGTCAAAATGGGTCAAACTGAAGACAAATTCCCTTTTTACCTGTCTTACCTCAAACAGGAACAAAATCTTACTTTAACCCTAATGGCGCGTTTCCACTGCAGGCCTCGCTCGGTTTGGTTAGGCCTTATTAGGCCCGGCTCACTTTAATGCTGCGCTTCCATTACAGTTTAGGAACTGAGGTAGTTACTATAGTAACGCAGTGTAGGCGGAGCCGTCTTCAATGAGAGCCCCAGAAAAACAACACAGCCGTTAGCTCTTAGCACTCAGAGCTCACAGCTCTTCATATCTGTTCAGAAACTAGACAAAAGTGAAACCAGTACAAACCACAGACTGCATGTGTCATGGCGAATACAGTCGCTGGTTTATTTATGTCTGTATAGGCCGTTGTTGTGAGTGTGGACGGTCGGAGCATACATAACATTAGCTTAGCCAAGCTCCATTTAGAAAACACGCATTTTAAAAGGGTTTTTCGCCTGCCGTCTGTCTGCAGACTTGCCAAAGCATTAATTCATGGTTTTTACTAACCGGTATCAGTATGTTGTTACGTCGGCATCATTTAGAAACGTGTATTACAATTAAATCACGGTCAAATATGTTCATCTTGTTGTAGTTGTAGCCCCCTTGCCAGCTATTCTCTCTCTAGTTTAGCATACTCAGCCCGACTCAGCCTGGTTGTTCCTGGCCCTAGAACCACGATGTTATGGGGCCAGAAAAACTGAATTAGGACCCGCTAGCCGGTACTAGGCCAAGTGGAAACGCAACCAAAAACGGGCCCCGCACGGCTCGGCACGCTTAAAGCGAGCTACCCGCTGCAGTGGAAACGCGCCATTAGATGCACGAGTGACTGGACCCTACACTCTTCCATAAGTGGGTCAAAAAGGACCCGTATTAGACCCGTATGTGTTTTTATGCCATTTTTGTCATTCTGGTTAAGAAAAATCACTTGTATAATATTTAGTATTATATTTTGGTTCACACTAGAAATATTTTATATTTAATTTTTTTT